AATGTCCTCCAGCTCAACATTGGCCAACATCATTTATTGGCATTGGGACAATGTTGGAACAGCAATTGAAATAGTAAACAGGGAGAGGATCAATATGCAAGTAAATGTACATGCACAAAACCATGGACACTTGCACTAAAATTATATACGGTGCATTGTGTTACATTTAAATCCTTTTGAAGAAAGCGGTCGATTTCCCTAAACAAGTAAAACTTCAAATGATCATTAAAGGCAGGTGCATGTAATTTGTAACATGCAGGGAAGCAATCGTCCCTCTCGTTTAGCAACTGTGAGATACATGCATTATGAAAGAATTGTTTAGTTGTATGATATATGATTTTTTTTTTTATAAACATCATATAAGTACAAATTATTTTCACACTGTAATTTCCTTTTTTATGAGGCAGCGTGACAGTTTAATCCGTAATTTAAAAAAAGGAAAAACGGCAATGGTAACACTCCTGTCCACGTATAGATTCAGGTACCCAAAAAGTGCCCCCCTTTTTATTTTGATATGTACCCCTTTTTTCTCGTGATAAATGCCCCATTCTTTTCGTCATAAGACTCATTTCCCTTTTGAGAAATTCACCTTTTCACTTCTGATAACACTCCTATAAATATTTAATAAGTGCTCCTTATTTTTTTATATTTGACCCTTTTCCATCTCATTACGTGCCCTTTTGCATCTCTGGTAAGTGCCCTCTTTCATCTCTGGTAAGTGCCTTTTTTATGTACGAGAAGTGTCCCTTACCACTTCTGATGAGTGCCCCCTTCACCTATGTTAATTGCCCCTATTCAAATCTGAGAGGTACAAGTTCCACTTTAACAAGTGCCCCTTTACCCTTCAAAATAATTGCCCCCTTCTTCTTCTAATAAGTCCCCCTTTTCACAACTGAAAATCGACCCTTGTATTTTGACACGCGACCCTTTTCCTTTCTAATAATTGCCCCTATTTAACCCCTGATAAATGCCCCTATCGAAATCTGATAAGTGCCCCTTTTCCTTCAACAAATATCCCATTTACTTTACAATACGTGCATCTTTTCCATTCTCATAAGTGCCCCTCTTTTTTTTAATTTCTGGTGAGTACCTCTTTTAATGTGCGAGAAATGCCCCTTTTCACCTTTGATAATTGCCCTTTTATTTTACTTTGACACGTGCCCCTTTATTTTCTGGTAAGTGTCCTTTTCCTTCTGATAAGTGTCCCTTTCCCTTTTTTAATAAGAAGCCTCTCCATTTCTCTTAAATTTCTCTTTACATCTGTGATAAGTGCCCCCTTTTACTTTGACACGTGCCTCTTCTCCTTTCTAATTAAGTACCCTATTTCCTATAAACAGTAATATCAAGGCACTGCACCTCAACCGTACGACAATTCACCTGACGGTGGCCTGTACTGCAACTGAAGAAGAAGGCATTTTGCTCCCAGTACCAAACTATATCACGAGAAAGGTGAATATCTTCTCTATTTGAAAATGTAATCAGCTAAGGATATAAAATCGAACGAACCTCCATGTGTCCGTTTTCACATCCACATTTCCAGTGGCGTACCTGGGGTACTCCGTCAGGGGGGGGGGGGGCAAGCGATCGAAACAAAACAAAAAAGGCGATGCTAATTTTCACTTCTGGCGAGCGAGCGGGCAAAAAAAATATATTTAAGTAACGTTTGGTATATAAATCGGTATTGTTGCAACTCGGGGTGGGCACATTCATTTGTTAGCCACGTTAATTTCATTTTTGCAAGCGAGCGTAGCGAGCAAGAAAAAAATCCCTTCTTTTTTAATATTTGCCACTTAAACTTGGTCCAATTGTCCCATGCCGGGTGCGGGAAACAATTATTTATATTGTGTTTAGGGTGATTTTATACCCATTTTAGCTAGCGAGCGAAAATACACCTTTCTCTTAATGAATTGCGATATCAAACTTGTTTCATTGTTGCAGGTCGGGGTGGGTACAATCGTGTGTAAGGCAATTTCAATCCCATTTTGGCGGGCAGGCAACCCCCCCCCCCCCCCTACATTTCTCTTTTTAATGATATTGTAGCAGGTCAGTGGTGGGCACAATTCCAGCACGAGCTAGCGAGCGAAAAAATCACTTCTCTACGGTGAGAACATGGTACATAAACTTGATTTCATTGATCCATGTCAGAAACATGATTATTTAAAGCGATGTTATTTCTATTTTGGCGAGCGAGCGTAGCGAGCGAGCCAAATTTTTTAAATGATTTTTCGCTCATAAATTTCAGGTTTTTTTGTTGCAGGTCAGGGCTTACACAATCATGTCTAAGGTGATGTTAATTCCGTTTTGGCGAGCGAGCACACCAAAACTTCTTTGAATAATGTTTGGTACATAATTATTAACTAGTAATGTTGTTGCAGGTTAGGGCGGGCACGTTAGCGATGTTAATTTCATTTTGGCGAGCGAGCGTAGCGAGCAAGAATAAAAAATCGCTTCTTTTTTTAATAATAATATTGCCAATTAAACTTGGTTCAATTGTCCTCAATGAATTGGTACATAAACTTTGTGTCTTTGTTGCAGGTCGGGGTGGGTACAATCGTGTTTAAGCCAATGTCAATCCCATTTTGGTGGGCAGGCAAAACAAACTTAATGATGATTGGTGCATAATTTTCAGTTTTTTTTGTTGCAGGTCGGGGCTTACACAATCATGTTTAAGGTGATGTTTATTCCATATTGGCGAGGGAGCGTAGCTAGCGAGCAAACCAAATTTTCTTTGATTAACGTCTGGTACATAATTATCAACTGGTAATTTGTTGTAGGTTGGGGTGAGCATGTTTTTTTAGCGATGTTAATTGTAAAGACAGCGTAGCAAGAGAGGGTAAAACAAAAAACAAATCAACTCATATATCAATCACTAAAATCAATCAATTGAATGTGTATCAACTCCATAAATTATCTGTTTGTGTTTTTATGTATCAATTATTGAATGATAAATTGCCACAGTCTCTAATTCAGTATTGCTGTTTCATAGAGCACAACTATGAAACTAGACAAAGAGAAAGTAAGAAGTTAAGTGTGCCTAAAGTAAGGACAACGCACGGTAAATTTTCAATGTCATTCAGAGGCACACGCTATTGGAATGATCTACCCCTTTCTGTAAGGGAGAAAGCATCAGTGTCTTGCTTTCGTAGAACTCTTATATCACAAATGTTAATAGAATAGTTGTTTATAACTTAGAACCAAGGCTCTTGCCTTTTTGTAAATATTTTGTTATATAATTCTTCATCTTTTATTTAGTGTAAAATACCAAAGCTTTGTATATAAGCACAGAACACATTTACCCTAGATGTAGAATAGTTTGTAGCTTAGGTATGAATTCAATAGTTATTCATATTTATTCATTACATTCTCATTTATTGCTGTGATACTTTTTGTTTGTTAGTGGTACTAGACACGATTAGCATTCAATGCTATTTTCTGGTCCCATTTATCCTTTCAATGTTAATTAATCATTCACATTTGATTGTTATATTGATGTACTTTTTGTTTTGGATAATAAACTTCAAACTCAACTCAACTCAACAATTCATCAATTCTGGCGAGCGAGGAAACAATATCTCTCAAAATAACGTTCGGTGCTTATTTACTGGGATTTTCGTTGCAGGCAAGGGAGCGCACATATTTTGTTAGGAATGTCATTTCCATTTTGGTGAGCGATCATAGCGATGCAAAAAAAATCAATTCTCTTTTGATAGAAATTAATACATAAACTTGTTTTTATTGGTGCAGGTCGGGATGGGCGTAATCGCGTTTAACACGATATCAATTCCTTTTTGGCGAGAGGGCAAAAAAAACTCTTCCATTTTTAATGATGTTGTTGCAGGTCAAGGGTGGGTACAATTGTTTTCAAAGCAATGTCTATTTCATTTATTCGTGAGCGAGCGTAGCGAGCGAGAAAAAATTAATTAGTCTCTTTTAGTAACATTTGGTACATAAACTGGGTGTTATGGTTGCCATGGTTGCAGCTCGGGTCCAGTCAGGGCAGACACAATTGTATTCTAGGCAATGCTAATCCTTTTCTTTTTTTCAGGGGGACGAGCATGTGAAAATAGTTAATACAAAATAGGCTAGCAAGCAGCTCGCGCCAGCGAAGAGTGTCGAATTTGTTATATCACTTATATTTTCCTATATTCATTTGTCTTTTTCTTTGCCGTATGCGGAATATTTTCTGATGGGGGAGGGGGAAAGATGCATAAAAAGTTTTTGAAGAAACTCAAAAGCAAAAGGAGTGAAGGGAGTTCGAGCGACCAAACTGGTTATGAGGGTACTTTTGCATTTTTCAAAAGTAGAATTGAAGGGATTTGGTATAGGCCTTCACTACTTGTGAGCTTTGTTAAACATTTTCAGGAATAAAACTGTACGTTTTCAAAATATCTGGGGTCAACTGCCCCCCCTCCCCCGGTGCGTACGGCCATGGTCTTTTTTTAAATAATTTCCCCATTTTTTTTCTTTTCCCTCTTTCTTCCTTTCCTATTCTTTTTCCTTTTTTTTCCTTTTCCTTTTTTCTCTTTCTTTTTTTTTTTTTTTTTTTTTCTCTCTCCCCTTTTCCTTTTTTCTTTTTCTTTCCTTTCCTTTCTTTTCTTTTCTTTCCCCTTTCTTTTCTTTCTCCTTTTTTTCCTTTCCCTTCCCCCCTTTTCCTTTTTTCCCCCCTGGAGCCCGTCAGGGGGGCACTCTGCCCCCCTTGCCCCCCCCCCCCCCCCCCTCAGGTACACCAGTGATCATTTCCCCCCAACTAATAGTTGGGGGATATAATTCTGCCGGGCAGTACGTTTTTGGCGACATTTCTATAGAGGTGTTTAACTTTGCACTATCCATTTTAATTGTCATAGAGTTGCGGCGTAATCCACAAATCTGTTAGTAAACATTTTCAACTTTTTTTCCCTGCCTTTTGCTAATACTAAATTCCATAAATACATGATTTATGTTTGGAAATAATTTCCATTTAGGTTGGACGTTTCGGCGACACCCTAATTGGTAGGTTCGACGCCGACGGGTTGGTTACCGGTGACGCGCAGATTCGATTTAAAGAGCGATTTATCAAGGATTCAAGCTGGACAATGACATGGATCATGGAGTGAAGGTAAATATTTTAGCGGGAAACGGGGTTTAGGGTTGTGTGTGAGATGATGATGTTCAGGTGTTGTTTGTAACATAAGGGGGCGGAGTTGTATTGTTGATTAACAGGCCAGCAACGAATAATGCCTTAGTGGTCAATGCACGGCTAGCCTGGGTACCGCAATCTTTATTTATTAATCGATATCATTCACATTCCCCCACTCTCATGTCGGCGCTCGTTTTTTTTTACCCACTCCCATTCTCCTTCTCCTTTTCTTGATTGCTAGCGGTCCGATAGCAACAGTGTGCCGGAGATTGGTGAATCGTTAATGACTTTATGTTACTCTGTAAGGAGGATACTGAGAGCATGATTTAAGGTGCAACTATAAAATATTGGAGCCCATTAATTAAAGCTTTATTGTTATTGTGCATTGACTGAGTGATTGTGATAGTGATACTTAAGTGATACTCATACTGATACTGATACATCCATCTGTTTATGTCAGTGACTATACGTACTGTATTATTGCTATCAATTCATAATTATAATGACACTTTAATACACATTTATAATCTGAATCATAGTGTCTGGTATTAAAGTTAGATTCCTAAATCAGAAAAGTGCTTTAAAAAAAAGACTGGGAGAACTGTAGACCGAAGTTTCTGTCTCTTTCGTTTGTTAGCCTCTGATTTGGGCAGGTCGGCTCCTCTCTTTAGAGACAGAAACCGACCATAGGTGTTCATGTTCAAACATTTTGCAAAATTATGGCAATTTATGGCCTTATTCTTTGCCCAAAATGCTACCTTTTACCCAATGCATATCTGATGCATTTCATTTTGTAATTAGGCCTAGATCTAGGCTATTAAAAATCGGTTCCACTTACCAACTTGACTGAACAAATCTGTTTAATGGTCCCTTTTCAGGAAATTATGGGTCGAAATCGATATCCATGTTGAAAATCTTAATTACAGCCGTCTTTTAAACTCTCGCTGCGCATGACGTCATCTAAGTCTCATCCCTTCTAGTCTACGCGCAAGGCAAAGTGATTATGAAGGAAAAACTGTTACAAGCTTTAGGCCTACTCCTTCTAAACCTGGAAGCAACTGATCTTATAGTTCTCATATTTCGCATAGTTCTCGTATTTACTCTGTCAAAACTCAAACATACTCAATTTGTGCCTTTGTTTGTATTTTTTTAGTATTGTTGTACATGTATGTGGCACCTGATTCCTTCTTTTTGTTCCCAACCTCTCTGAGCTCTCTCTCTCTCTCTCTCTCTCTCTCTCTCTCTCTCTCTTTCTTTCTTTCCCTCTCTACCTCTCACTGTCAATTCATCTCTTTCTCTCTCTCTCTCTCTCTTCACCTGCCTTCTTTTTGCGGTCTAATTCACTAACACTGCACTGTACTATTTTGAACCTTCACCTACCGGTATACATCTAAAATCGTACTGCTAATTTAATTGTAGCCTCATGATGAGCCCGTTGATATTACACTCATGAATACTGTACAATCGCATTTATTGTTTACTTGTATTATAATGATGATATGTAGTGTATCTTTGTATCATGTAAATACTTTTGTAAAAATATTAGATTTTTTTACCTCCTTTTTAATTAATCTTTATTGGCTAGGGTAGCTTGGCAAACACAAATGAAACGGGTGGGGATTAACAAACTGATTATCAGCGGAATCCTGTGTAAAGTTTGCCGCCGGTTTTATCTTATCCGAGTCAACTTCAGAATGATTCTTAGGCAAGGAACATCTACAGTTGTTCAAGTGGGGTATGTACCCCCCAAATGTCCTCAGTGCCAATAATTGCATATTTCTTCTTTTTCTTGAAAACCCATAGCTGGATTCTAACAAAAATGTGTATAGGGATCAACTGCAGGACAGGGAGATCTAAAGTTGTTTAAATGGGGTATATGCCTTTAATAGGGCTTGGGAGCAGCATCCCTCAAAGTGCCTGTATTGATCTTTTATTTTGAGTACTTCTGTTCAGCTAAATATATTTTAGGTTAGACTGATATTTTGATAGATCTGGTGCTCTCACTAGCTGTTTCTTTGCCCGAGTTTGATTCTTGTTGCATCGTTTGTGGGGTGCTTCAGTATTCATTTTGAGTGTGGTACCATAAATTTCCATGGTTCTGCACATCACTGCCGCTATGTTGTATTATGCAAATAATGAGAAAAGAAACAAGAGAAGTAACTTCCAAGTTGTGTTTACACATTGTTTATTATTTTCTATTTGTATTAACATTTGAAGCTGATATTTTTATTCAGTGTAGAAGTATAGAACCGCAAACATACTTGGCAAATAAGGAAAATATTTTAAAGAATTTGGTAATTTTCTTGTGCAACTAGGTTAAAATGATGATGGATGGGATGAATGCAGAGCTGTTGAAGAATGGTGTTGGCCAGAATGCCAGCTCTGATGAGAAGCTACATGTCCTGTGGAAGCTCTACCTCCAGGCTGAAGCAGACATCAAGGCCGGGTCACAAAGCATGCAATCACTGCACAAGAAACAAGCAGAAGAAATGAAAGAAGTTAGTAAAATAATTATTTATCTTTGATATAATATGCTGCATCATCTGTACCTGAGAGGGGAAAAGAGAATTACCATAATCATTGTAACCCCCATGTATTTTCTCCTGGTCTACATGTTTGGTCTTTGTAGGTGTATCACTACACCCTAGTTCCCCTCTACTCTTTACCAAGGTGTGCAGTGGGTTCAATGTTTTGTATTTGAATTTAATGTTCTGTAATTTCTTCATTGCTCGGGGAGGGGAGCAAGAGGATCAATTCATTTTATCCTCTCACTCTGGCTTCCCTTCCTGTGTTTGATGTGTACAATTCTTATTCCATTATATAAGCTCACTTTAACTCACCAATACCAGTTTCTACTAGTTTGTATTTTAATCTTCTTCATGTTGAACAGTAACTTGCTAGAAAACCTGCTTTACAATCTCTAACTTCCAAAACATTAGGTTTGAAAGTTCAGTTTACCAGGATTTCTGTTAGTCACTATAAAATCACACAAGTTACCCAGAATGCCTTCATTTGCTGTGTCAAAATGATGAACATGTGAGATTAATGATGAGTTGATTCCTTTGTTTATACTCAGGTTGAATTATACGTTGAAAACATGCGTAAGCTATCAGAGGAAAGGGAGACTCTGACTCAAGAATTTGAAGCAGAAAATGAGGAACTAAAGGAGGAAAATCAGAGACTAAAGAACAACAAGGAGAAAAGCAACCAAGAAATCCAGCAATTGTTGAGACAGGTATAGTAATTCATGCCAAAATTATCTCCAATTATCTCAGGCATACTGGTAATTAGGCTTATATTTTTCTTCATGAAAAAGGTAGATATACAAAGTACATGTATATCACTCCTATCTAGCTGAGTGATGCCAAACATGATTACATGTATTTTGCTCATTGAAAGGGCACCACATTATGTGATGAGAACATGTTTTTCCAATAGTGTTGTCACATCCAATGGTATAGTGATGTTAATTCATAACTTGAACTACCAGTGAAAATCTCCAGAGAGAGAGAGAGAGAGAGGGGGGGGGGGGGGGGTTAAGTTTACCTCCCCAGAGGAGAAGGTTCAACAGGTCAACTTCCCCCACCGAGATGACACTTGATACTTATAAACCTATATGTGATGAGATCTTGGTACATGAACTACCCCCCCCCCCTTCTCTCTCTCTCTCTCTCTCTCTCCCTCCTCTCTCAACATCTCTACATTTCGTTCTCTCTCTTTCTCATCTAATTTTCGCTCTCTATATGACACCTGCTACAGCATCAATTGCTCTGCAGTTCATATCCAGCACAAAAAGAGTTCTTAACATCAACACTATACGCTATACGTAATGCTTACCGGTACCTACCCTGTAACCTTAATCCCAATTCTCTTTATAGCTTTCCAAATCTGAATGCACTCTATTTTGTTAACATTCAAATCAGTGGACTGTCTGGGAAGGTACTTCCAATGTAATTTCCCATGTACAACTTTTGATATGCTCATTCATTCTTTTAAATGCTGCATGGGGTCACAGACATTCTTTGAAACTAGTCTAGACCCCAATCCATGTCGTGATGAAGAGTTACATACCGGTACCCCGTTTATATCTCCTTCTCTGGGAGTCACACCAGATAACCGTCTGAGGGAGGAATACAAGGTGTGACATTCCTTTGCTACTGCAATAATAATAATGATAATAATACATATTTGATAAAAGGCATTATAAACAAATCAGTTTCTCTATGCACTGTACAGGAAAAATGTGGAACAATAAACATACTACAGTTGAACCTGCTTGAGCAACTACTTGTATAGAAAGATCACCTGTCTATAAAGACGTCCTATTTCATTTCCCTTTAATATGGTTTCTCATTGAAACCTGTACTGTAGAACACCTGCCTATAAAGACCACTTTTCATGTTTCCCTTCAGCTGTCTTTATATTCAGGTTCACTGTACAAATGAAGAGTAACTACAGTTTAAGATATTACCTGAACAATTAACATTAGGCTCTAACAAAACCAATTAGTGGGAGATGATATGCAGCTTGACACTGGACCTGACATGGTGAATCTTTACTCCACAGGAGGGCTTTGAAGACCTAGCCAAGAGTACAGCCAGTGAGGCTATAGCTTACTTTCTAGTGGAGAGGACCCGTCTTTCTGATAACATAGCCACAGAGAGAAGGAAATCACTCACCAATGGATCGGCAAAAAATCAGCTAGAACAGGTAAATAACTTTTTATCTAATCTTTCCTAGTTATGGATGATCCAATATCCAAACTCTTAGAGGCCAGTTAATTATTTTTTGATTCACCTGTTAACATCTTCTTTTTAAGAATATATCTGGCATTCATTCCTTGTTGCTGTCCCAGGCAAGCACCTGAAAAACTTGATGAAGAGCAATTTTGTTATGGAAGTGTTCATGATATTTAGTATTTTTTGAGTATGTATTTTAGAGTGCTGATTCTACCTGAATGATAATGATGCCAATAATGGTAACAATAAATCTTTCCCTAATCACTCCCACTGGTAATTGTTTTAGGTCCCACCTCAACAATTGGACTAGGGAGCCACCTTCAATGATTTTATCATCTTGTATTAGATTGTTCAGCAAGTTGGGTTTCTTTCATAATATATGTGAACCATTAATATTACTCCTTCATTGAGACATCTGGGACCCGTTTCACAAAGCCTTTTTTCAATGAAAAATGATAAAAATCAGTGACAAATCTGCTGATAACCAATCAGAAGCAAGGATTTCACTAGCTTAAATCAAAAACCGACAATTGTCACTGATGACATGTTTTGTGAAATGGGGCCCAGTGCAGAAGAAGGAAGATGGGTACTTGAAGGCACTTGGGGGAAAAAACAGAAATTAGAGATATTTTTGTACACAACAAACAAGGGAGTTATCCGTCCCTAGGTCACGATCCACTGACAAAATTGTGAATTTGAGATTTGCACAGCTGTAGTGATCTCATATTTCAAACATTCATAACTTTCTTGTTATTGGTTCAATTTATTACAAACATTTGCTATTCTGTTCCTGTGATTTCTCTGCTTTCATTCAAATGAACTTATTACAAGGGTAGGATAGGCCTACAAAGAGTTTACTGGAATAGTCCATTGAATTTTCCAATTAAAGACATCAATATACTTGAAGTTCTAGCATGGATATACTTGTAGTTGTTTATATTTTTTTTTTACTATTTTGAATCAAACCCTTTTGTTGGACATGATTAGTGTTGATCTTGGAGTTGCTCACTTTATAATTTAAAAGATTAAAATTATTATTAAAGGAATAGTTCTGCCATACTTAACCCCACCAAATTTTGAGCAATTATTCACATTATCATGTCAGTTTCAGAAAGATAGGATTGGTAAACTGGAGAAAGAGAAGGATCACCTGGAGCAGGAGCGTAGACAGCAGATGCAGCGAGTGAAGGAGCTGGAGGTAGAACTAAAGATGAGCAAGAACAGACTGGAGAAAGAAAAGGAAGTGCATCACAAAGAGGTGGAAAGGGTCCACAAAAAGGCTGGTGCGTTAACATTCTCTCTTGCTTTTTAAAAGCTATAATCAGTCAAATGCAGTAGTATGGGAAATGAACCTAAAGTCCAAGGGGGCACGTATGAGTTATGAAAATCTGGATGAAATATTTCTCACTAGTATTAAGATTGAAGATACTGGGAATAGACCTGTGTTGCCTAGCTGGATACATTCTGAAACACAGGCATTTGCTTTATTGTTCTTTAAATGCGTTTAAAGTTTTACAAATGAACTTATTTCTATCATTCCGCTTATTTTACAAATGTATTTCGTTGTAAATGTAAGAATTTTTGTAATGGAATTTTATGATTTGCATTCATAGAATAAATTTTAGATTAAATTGAAATTGGAAGCACAGTGGTAAGCTTCTCCTTATTGGCCACTGGTGATTAGATCTGGCTCCTTAGTGAACCATTTAATATTGTTACCATTTGTGAAGTCCAATGTATCTCATAATATGTACTCTATTTTGATCAATCATGTACCGGTAACGATTTTTAAGGCTGGCAGTGTAGGCATATTGGAGACACATTTGCTTTTATAATTTGTCTTATACTTCGAAAGGTTTTTCCACTAATATTTTGACAGTTATCACCTATCTTTCTTTCTTTGTATTTCTGTCTGTCTGTCTGTCTGTCCCACTGTAGATGAAAGATTGCAGAGTAGTTCAGGTGATGATGCTCAGCTAAGAGAGTCTAAACGTAAGTTGGAACAAGAGCTGACCACAATGAAATACCGCATGAAGACCAGTGAAGACGAGAAGGAAAAAATCAAGCAGAAGGTATGTATCATCATTTACTTTTGGGTGTGAAAACACAATATAATTGGAAAAATTATCATTAATATGTGTAGAAAGATATCTGTAAAATATTGTGCATTGTTTGGACAAGTAAAAGAATTGTGTTCCAGGTAATGCCATGTTATTTTGTATATATTTTTGTTTCTTCTCAGTACAATGCACATCACTATATCCCTTGTTATTTGTATATTCACTTGGGTGTGTGGGTGGTTATCGAGGACCACTCGCATAACAAGGATGTCTTCAGTTAAATAACCCTGTATTAAATTTGTTTAAAATTAGAAGCTCATTCAGATTGGGTACATTTATTTAGGTGCTCTATTTGCACACAAAAGTAGGTCTCAGTTTATATGCAGTAAATTTTCAGATTGTCCCTGGATGTTACATGTTTACAAAAATGAGTTCACTCAAATATGGAGTAACATACTGAAGTGTATTACGAGTCCTTGATTTACACCACAAATGTGTATGTTTGAGTGAGTGGTTTTGTTTTTCTTTGTGTTTGTTAAGAGCCAGTGAAAAATTGCACACTGTTTGCAGTATTCATGGTATGTTAATACTGTAATCCTTCATGACCCCCCCCCCCCCCCCCCCCATTTCCATAAGCACACTTTCAGCCGATTTACTGTTATACCTACTCTAGATGTTATTGTAAGTGTCTAAGAAATCCATTGGTCACCCAATAAAAAAGGTTTTATAGAGCTGAAGCACTTGTAAAGGGCATGCACACAAAAGACTGGATCTAATCTTCCATCGTTAATTCAAACCAGATCAGTTAGTTTGAAGTGCTTAGCTAGATAACGTGGCTCAATCTTAGCATTCTTTTTACATGGCTAACACTTCTTGCACCATGGAATTAGAAAGTCACTTCAGAGTTTTCACCATTTGGGAAATGCATTAAATGTCTTTTTAATCTATTTCTGCCTGAAAGTGATTGACTATACATCAGACCCTTAAAATTGGATCATATACAGTGTAGGTCTTCCTATCTCTTTTGTAAAAACTTTGTATTGTTAATAGTAATGTGGGGGGGGGGGGGTGGGGGAGCTATCCTTGGTCATCTGCTATTCTGTTGGTTCAAAGACCATTAAGGACAGGGCATTGTTGAGTCTTCCTGGTTATTGATCCAGAGGCTTTTTATCGTTTCAAAGCACTGCTTGTGTAGGTTACTATAAGTAATTGAAAAGAGGTTGCTTTTGATAGGACATTCAAACGATTGTGGTTGCGGTCCATACAATCAATATCTACTGTTTGCTTGGTGTATGGACATATTGCTGGAATTATTTCTACAATTGAAGTCATGTGGAATTCCACTTTGGATTTATTTTAAGATACTTTTGAACTTTTTTTAATATTGAGGACTGTTTTGGAACAGATTCAGCGGCTAGATTCAATGCTGTTTGTGTACATCTTGAATGGAAGTGCGTTCTAATGCCTCATGGTTTGGAACTTGTTGTTTATATTGACTATTCATGGAAGTATTTTAAGTAGGTATTAGAGGTTATCTGGAGTAACAAAAGTGCAATAAGTTGTCAACTCTGTCTAAGCTTGAGCTGGATATAGACTGGGTAAGAACTGATTAGCGGTTGCAAGGCTTTTAATTCATTGCCATGTGTGGCATATGTTGAGTGATTTTCAAATAAGTCAAAGACAGAAGACGAAAAATGGCTGTTCATCAAGACAGTAGGGTAAGTATATATCAATATCAATGTGACAAGGGTTTTATGTGTTCTAATTGACATGTTTTATTGAATTTGAAATGAAATTCACATTTTTTTCCCTTTTAATTATTGGTAAAATGGTAAACAGAGAGATCAGTATCAGTAAATAATTTAGAAAATAGGAGGCGAAAACATGGAAAGCATATGGCTTCTGTTGGGAATGCCCATTACAACAACAAAAAAGTCACTGTAGGAACACAATTATATATATATATATATATACATATACATGTATTTATAATGAAATGTAACACATCCAAGCTGTAAGTCATTCATATGGGTATTGTTTTTGTAATTTTTTTTATTTGATCAGTAAAGAAAATTTGAGCTTTGAAAACTGTGTTATAAAGAGGGGCAAAACAAAATCAAAATATTTATTTGTAGTCACAGTGTTTACATTATAGTAGACGGCATAGATATTTGGAATATCGGTACAATGTATTAATAATGATGTGTGTAACAACTCACAAGCTAGCTGTATTATACACAAAGCAGTTACACACGCATATACAGTCAGACCGCAGCGTGCGCGATAATGAGGCTATACGCTGATTTTTATTCAGCGTCTCTTTGGTTATCTCGTACATTCACGTGTGCTGAAATTCACGAGATTTTCTGTGAGATTTGTAAGGGTGTACATGCAGCTGCTTTTGTGGTCGATAACTTCTGTCAACATGGCAGCACGCAACGGTAATTACTCTCGAGATTCTCAGCTTCAGTTTGATATGAAACTTGCCATATTTCACAATTTTGAAACGATCCTTTTTCACCACTTTTATTGTCGTTATTTTTGTAACATTTCAACAGCTATTTTGTACCCGAAATTTCGCTTTTGGTTCCTGACTTTGGTACATAATTAATTTGTTTACTTTGAGATTCGTTGGAAAGATGAAAAGTCACTGATCAAAATAATGTCAAAACCTAATTGACGCAAAATCTTGTTCTCTTTATAATCATAGTAATTAAGACCCTAAAAACCCGGAAATTACCAATTTGTTCTTTCTATATGATGGCACGAAATTGTGTGATTTCATACTCGTGCACGCTCGCCGTTTGAGCAATGGCAATGCATAACTGATTAGTACACTCCAGGGAGCTCCGCCGCGCCACCGACTGGCCGAAAAAATTAAGAAAAATGATTAAAAAAGAAATAATGTAGAAAAATATTATTTGAAAGGCAGGTGACGTAATTGATCCAGGGTCCTCAGGTTGTTGTCATGACTGCTTGCGCGCACGTGCATTACAGGCGCACGCCACAAGGAATGCTTACTCAAATCTGGTATTTAGAATGTTAATAAACCAAAGCGGAACATATGTGACGTAGTTGACGTATTTGGCCAATCAGAATGCTCTATTATCACATCGGCAAAGTTGACTACTTTTTTTAATTATTCATGAACATTCGCGTGATTTTTCTTGGTTCCTGACTTTGGTACAGCGTAAAATATAATAATGTTGATATCATTGTAAAGAAAAATATTTATGCTTTATGCTGATTATAACATCTTCTTGACGCAAGAATGATTTCTATGTGAAAATCAGCCCTACTCTTTAGATAGATTTATCGTCGAAAAACCCCATTTTCAAGGCGAAATATCTGTTTCCAAAATATATTAAACATGATTGTCATATAAGTATATAGAGAGTGCAACTTCTTATCTTTGAAATAAGACCCATTTCATGAGAAATGAACAATTATAAAGGCAAAAACTGCCGATCGGGAAGACCGTCTGCACTACTCATTACGTATGCAAGACACGTAAATTCTTGCATACGTGCTGAATAAAATAGAGGGTTTTCGCACCGGCTGCGGTCTGACTGTATACTCATCCTGAAAAACAGAATTTCTTTAGAAGGATGAATTCATGAGGATAGCACAAATCATTGTCACAGCATGTGGGCATGCTATATTTGGTGCCTGTTCAATACAGAGCTATGAAGTACAAAATCCAAAGTCCCCATAAGTTTGATTGATTATTTAAAGAGAAGGTTGAGTTTTTGGAAGTGGTGAAAAATAAATTGTGAGCATTATCATTGTTATTATGCAAGTGTGGAAGAGCATCAGAGAAAAAATGTTCCCTGAAAAGCATGGCTCTTCAAATGCCTTAATATCCTAAATATGGCACGAAACAACATAAAAAATCGGGACAGATATTTATGCCATATGTTTGTGTAGTCCCATATACATCTTTCTGTGTACAGTGCTTATAACTTTACATAGACTGGGCCAAATTTCTTATCATTTTGATGATTCCAGAAACTTGCAGTACACACCAATACTTATATGCTAGATGATCAACCTTTTCTGATCGATTCCACCCCGTTTCTTTCACTATGCAATCGCATATTACCAGAACTCAACTTTATCCCTAACTGTCATATACTCTAATTCATCTCAGTAAGGAGGAGGAGGAGGGGGTAAGATAGGATATTCTGAGGTGTACTAAAAATTCAAGTCATAAAGAACAAACAGAATGAGTTCACATAATCGGTGTAAGGTTTCAAGCAGCACTTTACAGAAATAATTGCTTTTTATATAGCGCTCATATCTGTCATGCAGTGATGCTCATGGTGCCTTGACATAATTAAATCGAGCTGCCAAAGTAAATAGCGCTCAAGCATATCAGGTACCCATTTACACCTGGGTGGAGAGTTGCAAATATAGATTAATGTCTTGCCAAAGGACATTAGTGCCAGCCTGGGATGGGAACCCCCTACCTTCTGATCTACAGGCTGGTGACTTATCCACTAGACCAGAACATATCTACTTTAATGTGATTGTTTACATGGATTGATATTCAGGAGTATACATGGTTCATTGACATTGTTCATTATTGGACATAGAGAATTTAAGGATATTCAATTTTGTATTACGGTATCATTTCATGTAATTTGATTTGTGTACCTTCACAGAATATTGTTTTGCCCATAGAAGGCTCACTTAGTGAACATAGTACTTGCATAAAAGGTCATAAACTAATCCATGATATGAGATACTAATGTGACAATTATGATGAAAATATTAATTTTAGTTAATCTAGCTTGGAGGATTTATCTATCTTTACTATAATAATCTTTTCTTTAATACTAATATCACCAGAAAAAGGCAACTCTGTACTTATCTAAAATCTTGTAAGAATTTACTTTTGTCAGCCAGCTACATGTACATGTATACTGTAAGTACTTAGAGTAAATTCTAGTCTTTATTGACAGGTAAAATGTGGTATTTGATAGACATAGGTATTTTATTATAAAACTCAA